GTGTTTACCCTGTACTGAGGACTGTCTGCGGCATATAACCTCAGAGCTTCACCGTAGAGCTTCTGCTCCTTCACCAGGTGCAGAACTTCAGGGAAATGCTCCTCTCCTGAGCAGAACACACATCGGGTCACACTACGACACAACGCCACGAAATGCCACGACGTAGAAAATGTGCAGTAAAATCACTGACCGCACTTTGTGAGGTGCACCAAGGCCTTCCTGTAGCGCTTCAGGTGTTTGTCGATGGTGTAGCGTTGGTAGTTGGGCTCCAGGCTCTTCAGCATGTTTAAAAAAGGAAGATACTCTTTGGGGTCCTGCAGAATAAAAAAAAAATCTGACTAAAAGGTTCTAAAAACAGATTTAAATCATAACGTCTGTAAAGTCACAGTTTGGAGCGCAAACCTTCTGGGATTTCTCGGCCACCATGAGAACRAGGTCGAAGTCGTACGTCCCGAGGGAGTGTTCGTACAGATCGTTGACGTTGACSAGGAAGAGGAGGTACTTTAACGCCTCTTCGGCGCTCACGGAGCCGGGCGCTCCAGGGGGACTCTCTGCAGGAACACAAACACGATGAATTATCGAGAGTAAGGCATCGGCTGGGACCCGGCGGAGCCAACGACTCACCTCGCAGCTCGTGAACTTTCTGCAGAGCGACCTCCAGCTCTGGAACCGTCTTCTTCACGTGAGCCGTCAGGACGGACAGACAGAACCTGACAGAGGGACGGTCCCATTATAGTTTAGTTTTTATAAAGAAGTAGTCCAAGTTTATCTGCATAAAAAGTACCAGCAATTTTGATGGTACCCCATTAAACTACATCCTTTCCATTTCACATTTCTTACAAAATTTCTAAATTTTAAATTTACTTTTTAAACACTAAARTATGATTTACCGTATTTATTCAATATAATACGTAAAATTAAATCCATAAAATTATCCACCAAGTTGGGGGTAGTACTATAGTGGGATAAATATTTTTACTTATGTATTTTAACTGAAATATCGGCTTCATTCACAAAATGCCAGAAGTGAGACCGCTTCGTAAAAAGCAGTTGAAACGAGCTCACCTGTGACACTCCTCCGTGCTTCAGAGTGAGATAATAACAGATCCAGGCAGGCGGCATGATGTGAAAAAAAGGGGGAAAAAACAGTCCTGCAGCTCAGTAATGATAACGAACTAATGGCATTAGCGTGTGACCGAGCTGCTCCTGGAACAACAACAAACACATGTTCGTCTGTAATGGCTGCCGTCTACCGGTGTTC